GGAAGAGTAGAAAACCTTTGCAAGCTTTTCCATATTAATTTCATTAATAAATATCAACATTTTCTAGACCCTTTTTTGAAAATACTTTATTTATTAAACACATTATAGGTGGAAATTGGGAAGAAAATTGTAGGAAATAGTTAGAGAGGAAGTTACTTAAATTGTAAGTGTATTAATTAGCTAACATTTATATTAAACAAATTAATAATACTAATAAATATTATAAACAGAAAGCAAGGTATAGCAGAAAAATGCCTTAAACCATTGAAAGCTAGGCTTTGCCTTTAAATTCTTCAAAATTCAACAACATTTTCCATACTCTTTTTAAAGAAATACATTAACTATAAAAACATATAGTCATCGTATTATAGACTTCTTCATATTTAGCTTATTGCAACTTTCTTGAAAATAGTATATTCCCTTTACCTGATACTTAATACATGCTTTAAGCTTACAATTTACATATGGTCTAGAAGTTATGGCCAGGTGGGTGAAAGGAAACAAACCAAAAAACAACAAAGGCAGGTATATGTATATTTGCCCATTGAGCTTGGTGCGGCATAATTCCAAGAAGCAAAGCCAAGAGAGCCAATTGCTAAATCAACACACACAAATAACCAAGAAAAAAACCGATGGCCAAAACAAAAACCTCAAAAGTCATTACATATATCTCTTGAGTAGCCCCAAACCCCCCAGGGGGAGGAGGGGAGGAGGCCACAGAAATGCAGAAGCTACAAGCTAACAGCTTTTTATCTTTTGGCACAAGGCGGCATTGTGTTGAAGCTCCGCCGAAAAAGAAAAACCAGTTCATCGGGATGGACCAAAAAATAAAAATAAAAACCGAAAACCCATCCACAACCGATCCGCTCCGATCCGATCCGATCCGACCATATATAGAGGAGTTAGTTGCTGGCCATGTCGAAAGGCAGAGCTGCGCGCGGTGCCAACTTCCTGGCTAATATTACGAAAATTGCTTATACCAGGCTATTGCTCCCTCTTGGATCCTCTTGGATCAGCCGAAAAGTGCCAAGTCAAAGTTGGTAGTAGTTTCAGCCAGTCCAAGTCGCTGTCTCTGTCTCTGTCCCACTCTTTTAGCCCAGCATGGTTGCAATGCCTTTGCAATTCGCCTTCTACCGTAATTCACAACAACAAGACTCCATATACCGGCCATAATAATAACAGCAACTATGGCAAGGCATCGAGGAAAAGCCAAGGCAAAAGTTGTGAAACCCGGCACAGGGGGATACAGTGGCCAAAAAGGTATTAAAAATGGTTAAGATCTTATAAGGAAAATTATTTGGAAAAGAAAAATATCAGGTTTAAAATGTTATCAGAAAATATTGTAATTTTCTTGTTATTATCTAGCTTTTAATTATGAATTTCAATTAGTTTTCTGATCATTTTATTATATTATAAAGTTTGTCCTGGTATTATCATGTATCATATATTATTTAATATATTTCATTTATTATGAATTACATTATATTTATTAATTTCAAAGTATTTTTAGGAATGAACTATATGAAGTAATTGAATATTCGAGAATCTCCAGACTTATTATTATATTATTATTATTATTATTATTAAATAGTAAATATTTCATTGAAAAAGTAAGCTCCTATATTTAACAAAAGCAAAAAAATGCCTTAAGAATTGGTACCCTTAAACTTCATAAATGAAAAAGTAAACCAAATCCCTAGTAAATGTACTTCAAACTTATGCTAAATTAATTATACAAAATCTACCTCTTCTTATATACACTCTTGATATTCAAAACATGCCCTATCCTACCCTAAAACCCTAAATACATCTCCGAAAAAAACCCATCTTTCCAAATGTATCTACTGAACCCATCCTCTGTAATCCCCTTTTTAAAATCCATCTGGAACCTCAATGACCTTCTCCTCTGTTTTTCAGATACTCTGTAAGTACCTTCGATAATCCCCCCCATTCAAACTTAAGTCTTTTGAACCACTGTGAAGAGACGGCCTCTGGTGCCGCGCCTCAAAGCGAAAAGCGCATCTTTTGAAGCGCAGCTTGCCAGCAGTCGCAGTCGCAGTCGCAGCATCAGTACGTCGCGGTGTGTATCTCAAAGATACAAACAACGTACGCTCGCTGGCTGACTCGCTGACTGTCTTGATCGTCGACCGTCTGTCGATCGTCGTTCGGTCTCTAAAACCGCTTTTGTGTAGCCGCTGCCGAGATGTTTGGCATAGTTGGCCTGGCCGCGGAACTGGTTGGATGTGGATGGGAGGATGGAGATGGAACTGGGAGTTGGGGATGTATCTGTGAGTTTGAAGTTGGAGGGGGAGGTGGAGGGGAGGGGAGCCTTGCAACGACTCTGCCGCCTGCCGCTCAGTTATTATTATTTTTGCTTGCGGCGGCGGCGGCGGCTCGACGACTTGCTGCCGCTGATGCCCGTTTGTTGTTGTTGTTGTTTTATCAACGTGAGGGTTTTAAAAGGTTTTTGTGTATGAGTCGTTGTCGGTATCGGGTCTTGGCCTCGTAGCAGCTGCTGCTACATGTAGAGAAAATGAGTTAAAATCAAAAGAAAACAAAATATAAAAAATATATATATAACAAAATATACATATAAAAAAAATATATATAAAAAATACATATAATATAATCTTTGATAAATTACTAATGAATTTAATTCTTATTTTATCTACATAAAATATATCTTTCTTCCTTTGTATTTATTTTATATATATAATTACAATTTAATTGATTTTGAAAGTGCCTAAAAAGTATCTTTGCCGCTGTATTTCTTTTATTTATGCTACTTAAAATGTATCTTTCTTTTATATTTATTTTATGATATTTAGTATGATTATGATTTATTAACATAATCATAATTTGAAAACCTTATAGAAAAATTAAATCTATATTTTTATATGCCAATTTTTTGAGTAAATCGAAGTTTTTGAAATGTCATAATAAGCAAAAATGCTTTAATTTCAATTCCGAAAGCTGTTCCCTGCTAGTTTTTTTAAGGCTAACAAATCTGGATACTAAATTTAAAAATTTTAAAAATGCATATTTTTTGTCTCTTTTTCGACAATTTAACCCTAAAAAATGTGAAAAAATTTCGAAAAATTTTTTCTGCCAAACATAGCTAGATCGATTCGACTGTTCATGCTGATCAAGAATATATATGATTTATAGGGTGGAAATGATTCTTCATGTTTTAAGCTTTTGATGATATTATAATACCTGCAAGGGTATTAGACCTAAAAATGATTTTTTCTGCTTGTATTTCTTTAATTTATGTTATTAACCGTTTTTCTGTGTGCACTGGGCCAACTCCACCTTCAATGCGGCATCGACTTGGCTTTGGTTTTACCTGCAACAGGTAAGAAATGTTCGTACGTTGTTTTTAAACGGCGTCGGCATTTCAATTCGCTTTATTTTTCCTCTTATTTTTTTGTTGTATTTCTTTTTCTTTTTTTCTTGTGTTTTTGTGGCTCTTTGGTCTTGGTCTCTTCCCGGTTTGTTGTTGTGTAGTATTTCTGTGGCTGCTTTCTTTGAAGTTGCATACTTCGGTGTGCCTTTGGAGGTTTCCTTTGAATTCCATCTCCTTCCCCCCCCCCCCTGCTACCTTCCTGCATCTGCCAGCAATTAGTGTACGGGTCTTGTTGTCCTGCGAAAAGGGTTCAAAGTGTTGGCCTGGCATTTAATTGGCGCAGACCAATTGCCAGCCCAAGATGATGACGATGACGATGATGAGGAGGAACAAGAAGTAGTCTTTCCAATGAATTTGTGGACAGAAGGGCAGTAAAAACAAAACAAAAAACGAAAATACAACAGGGGAACATTGATTGATTGATGTTCCTTCAACGATTCGGACATCAACGTCGCTCGTTTGGCAGAAAGGTCGTCCAATATTCCATTTCCAAGTCCAATTCCGATTGCTATCCCACTTCGAGGGCAATCGGGATGGAGAGTGAACTGGGGTAGGGAGTCCAGGAGTCGGTTTCTTGTTTATTTACGTTTATGATATGCTATATATGCCGTGACTAAGGAGGCAACAGGCAGCGGCATCAGGAGCCTCATCGAAACGTTCTATTGATCACGATCCCGAGATCCCTTTCGACTCGATCGTTTCCCAAACCAAAAAAAAATTCTATTTATTTTCCATGCGTCGTTTTCTTTTGATGTTCCACTGCCTGTGTTTTCTCCTCTCTCTCTGTCTCTCTATCTTGCCCGATTTTCGTTCTATTTTTGTATGTCGTTTTCCTACCACTTCCATTTTCCCTCCTTCCCCCTCTCATTTCCAAAGACCACAAGCGAACGGCTGTGTATCTTCTAGATAAAAATGCAGCCGGACTGGGACTTGGGATTGCCTACATTTTATTTTCCAACCTATTGTTGTTCGGCGTAATTATTGGAAAAGGATGTGGGAGAAGCCCTTGACTCAATGAATTTCTGAATAGCAGATGGACCCCGAGAGAGTGTGAGTGTGTGTGCTGGGAGCAATTGTGCTTGTTGGGGGGAAGAGAAGATAATATTTTAGATCTAAGGTCTAGATATGTTCAGACTTGGTTCTATGTTAATGGGAAATGGGGAAAATATACTTAAGATTACTTTTATATGATTTTCTTTAGTTTTTAGGGATATATTATCATTTAAGGATAGGTTATTAGATAAGATACAAAAGTATCTTTCAGTTCTTCATCAGTCCCATTACAAAAGAATATCCAATCTTATAAAGAACCTCCTACCTACCTAATGACCCATATCTCTTGATCTCTCCTGTAATTAATACCTCATATTTAACAGATATCTTTTGCTCAACTTCAAGGGAATTCCCTTGCCTCAATTATTACCCTTTCAATTTAATTTACTTGAACTCTAAAACAAATTGCTTCCTTGAAATGCTATCGCCTGGCCAGTCCAATGGCGAAACTTTTTGGCACTCCCCGAGAGCATTTAACATCCATCTTGCCCATATCTGTTGGCAACTATCTGGGAAAAATTCACTAAACAAGTTCGCTTACCTGAGAATTGTTTGTAGCCGCCGAGAATTTTATGCTTCCACCATTTGACAATGTTGCCGCCATCTCTGTGCGAATATATATACACTATATATATATATATATATACTCTATATATATATATATTCCTGGTTAGCTGGATGCAGTTACTTGACGGTGAGTGTGTCTTGGATTTTCGGCTGCTTCCTTGTTTTTATTTATTTCGGGAGGAGGTTGGCTGCTTGGTTGGGCCGTGAATTTACGAGTCCTGCGAGAAGGAGAAGAACGAGTCCTGCTGCAGCAGCCCAAAATGTTTTACAGCCTTTGTGTTTGTGTGTGTGTGTCTCCCTTGGCGGTGGCTATACATATATCCTTTTGTGTAAGGATCTAAGGATCTGAGACTAATATACTCGCTGGCAAACAGGTAGGTTTGGGAGAGGCGACCTTAATTTGTATCTGGTATTATTTTCGACTGTGCGGGTGGCAGTCAGTCGTAAAAGTTTTTACAGCTTTGCCGGTGTGCTGCATTTTAGTTTAATTTGCGCATATTGCGCGATGGGTAAGGGTATGATGTGTATATGTGTGTGTATCTTGCGGATACTTTACCCTGCCCGCTGCGCGCGTAATTTTAATTGTAAAACATTTTCGCCGACTGCCGGGACTCGATTTGTTTTGTTTGTCTTCGCTATTATTTTTCTTTTATTGTTGCGACGTAAATAACTTGGCGTATATAAACAACAACAAAAAAACAAACTGCAAAAAGGCAAAACACGATTTATTTCCAAAACGATTTGCGCGACGACGTCAGTTTTTTTTTTTCGAAAAGGGGGAGGTTGAGGCGACGGCGGCGTACCGGTTGTTTTTGTTATTGTTGTGCGGCGGGGGCGGTTTTGTTTTCTCGATTTTTTTCTTACACTTGTTTCTTTTCACAATTTGTATCTCACAGATACATTTTCCACTAGCATTTCATATTATGATTTCAATTTATTTATGTGTAAAACTTCACTTTTAGTCAGCGGTCAGTAGTTGTTGTTTTGCGGAGCACAAAACTACGCGTATCTTTCAGATACTTCTCGATGTATCTCGACGGTGTAGCTGCACGTCTGTTCGTAGCGGCGGACAAAAACAATCTGAATCGGAAACCTCTCTCCGGTTCGTAAGTGGTTGGCACTTCGAAATACTCTCTCTTTTACTCTCTCCCGCTCTCTCTCTCTGTGCTCTTAGTTCGAATTTCGTACATGTTGTGGCTCTGTTTGTATGCATGCTTGAAGCTGAGACTGGTTTTCTCTCAGTGTTGGCTTATGTTTTTTTCGAAAGAGACAGCTGTGAGCATACAACAATTGCGGTTTTGTTTACTTAAGAGAATTTTTGTAAGAGCGAATGACTCTCTTTGGGGCTGTGGCAGTGGTTTTTGATAGTATTATTCGAGGGTATGATGGAATTAGCAGGCGGTTTGTCAGGCAATTGAGAGATAATTTAAATAGAAGTCAGGTAAATATAGGAATTTAAGGAGAGAATAATAGATAAAAATAAGATAAGATATTATTAATCATAAAATATATAATGTATATTTTGTCTGTTTTGTTGAATTGTAGAAAATATTTATAAATTGTTAGGAAACTCAATTTAAACGATGATTTATTAATCCATTGGTTAATTTTTTTTATCATATATATGGTATATATATTATATTACAATTTTACGGATTTTTAAATAAAAGCTTAGGACTGATATATTTTCAACATTAGTATGCATTTAAGAAATTAAAGATTTTTTTTTTATTATTTAAAAAAATACCAATAACTTCTTTTTAAAAATATTTATAGCTATTTTTTGTTTAATATATAATTAATTTGTTGGTAGAATTATCAATTAAAGGTTAAGTTATATTTTAAAAACCTATTCTACCGAGTTTCAAGAACCTTACTTATGTATTATATCAATTAAAAGTTGATTTTAGTTGTTAAAGTTAAAGACACTTGGTTAAATCTTGATTAAGATTACAAATTAAAGTACTAACATCAAATGGGTAGATTAATATTTTCAATCCTGCTCTAAATGTTCTTGATATTGCTTACAAAAGCAATTATCCCAGAAACATATCTCCAATTGCGGCTAATGGCACGCCCCAAAGAGGCAAAGCTTTCTTTTTACTTGGTTTTATTTTGCCTTGGCACCTTACTTGATCCCTGGTCTTACCTGTCCGATTTCGATCCACTTCCCTCCCCCCTTTTTCGGACAATTTTTGATTATACACATGTATGGATAATACCCGGTTTTAATTTGGCTCTATGCATAGCGGCAGCAGAAAAAAATTTTGATTGTTTTTAAATTTGAGCTCCCCACTCCACCTTTTCGCTTCGCAGAAGAAGAAGCCGCCTGCTGAGCCCGAACATCGGGGCAATTACCTCCACCAGAAACCAAAAAAAAAAAATAACGAAAAAAACAAGAGTAACCCCAAACTCAAACTCAAAACCCGACGATAATAACAGAGCAAGGAGAATCCTGAATTACGCTGCAGAGACCAGGCAAAAGATCGGGGTAAAAAACAAAAAACAAAATATAAAGAAAAAGAAATGCAAAGCTCTTTTCATTCTCCGGCGATCAAAAGCAAGTGGAAGGAACCCGCGGAGCAAGATCGTTTCAGGTTTAACCCTCTATGGTACAAAAGGTTCTTTTGTTAAAAAGAAAGTTTTCAAAAACTATTATAATTACTAGGAATACTTTCAATAGAATATATATAAGTTATGATTTTGAGGCTTAAGTTAAATTACTTTTAAACACCTTTTTTAAAACTTTAAAAAGAATATTTTTAATAATATCTTCTTAATTCTGTGATATTCCCACAAAAGTATAAATAAAAGTATGAATTTCTATGATTTTTTTAAAGAAATGTTACATTTATGTTTGAAATAATTAAGTATATGATTGTGATTGAGTAATTTTAGTCAGTTTCTGATAAATTTCAGGAAAATATGAATGTTCCCATTTATATCTTAACTCCTAAAAATATCTTCTAGAATTTCACATTCCATTAATAATTAAACAAATAGTAATACAAATCGATTTATTTGTTATATTATATATCTTTAAATTCTGTATTAACTTTGTACTTTTAATTAATTTACGTTTGAAACTAAGTGAATCTAACCAGTTTCTGAAGTTTAACAAAGTTTAAGTTCTTAGAATATATATGCAAGGGACATGTAAATATTTTTATATATTATATATTTTTAATTTTAATTAAATTTAAAACAATCCTCTAAGATTCTTCAATTCGCTAATATTTGTAACGAAAAAACTATTGTATTCTATTCCCTATTATATATTATTTTCCCTAAAATTCTCTATTAAGTTTGAGTCAACCCATCGACACCCAAGGAATTAAAAATGAAAATTAATGCAATATTAATGGGTTAACCCCCAAAAGCCCTCGGGGGTCTGCAGGCTTTCGCACCGTAAAACGTTTTCGGCTTTTTCGGTATAATGGCGCTGTAATTGAAGAGGAACACGCGATCGAAGCGTAGAACCTACAGACGTGGTGGGGGAAGGGGAAGCTACAAAGGCGGCTAAGGGAACCTCCTTCTTCTAACAGAAGGGTTTTCGAGGGTCGTGGGTCTCCTCCTTCTCCATCTTCCCTGCTCCTCAGCTTCATCTTCATCATATTCTTGGGTCTTGTGCATTTTCGGAACCCTCTTTTGTTAGGGCCTTCGTCATCATCATCCATTGATCCATCGTCTTAATTTTACGGGGACGTTGTCTTCTTGGTTCCTCATTCCAGGGACTCTCCCCTTCCTCATATCGAATGCGGGCCCCTGATTGATGTCGGGATCTGTCCGCCTCCTGTGACCCCCTCCCGATATTGATTTATGTTTTCTCCGGTTTCGCAATGCAACAACCCCTGCTCTTGGTCCTGCTCCTGGTCCTGCTGCTCCTGCTACTCCTGCACTTTGTTCAGCCGAAATTCGCACAACATTTTGCAGCTTTTCCGTTTGACAAAAGTCGTTGAAAATGTACGCAGGGGAGGCTGACTGCAAATGTAATTACCCAAAAGCGAGTGGAACATCGGTGGGCGTTGATGGTCAAAATGGCCGCCTGTCTCCATCCGGGCTTTATATAGGGTTTTTGACATTTGCCCCGAAAGACTGACAGACCGACTGACAGCCATGGCAACTGTCGGACTGTAATTGACAAGGAAGCCGTTTGCTGGATTCGCTCTGTCATTTTGTCCCTATCTTCACACATATTGGCAATGCTGATGAGTTTTTGAAGGGTTAGATGAGTTTAATCGAGCACCACGGATGTGTGTGTGTGTGTGTGTATACTGTGTGTGTTTGTTGTGCTTGTTTACATTAGAAGTTGATTAGGTTAAAGCGGGGTCATTTTAGCTACAGGAGATAAACATAATTGCCTTATCTCGCAGCTTCTATAAATGGGAAAATATTTTATACATTTTCGTCACAGCAAGAAAATTAATCGAAAAACTGACAAGGTTTTAATTGAATAAAAAAGGTATTTAAAAGTGTTTATTAAAGGTTTATACATTTAATTTATGTAAATAGTTGTGAAAATATTTGTATACCAAGTACAAGCTATGAAAAATGTATTAAAAAGACTTATTTTCTTTCAACTTCTTGGTAGCAAATTTCTATTTATTTTTTCTTAATCCTCTGAAATATCCCTTCAAAAGTCCAACATAATTTCTCAAAACTAAATAGCCTTTAATTATTTATTTACCTTTAAAGCACAGTAAAATCTCTTCCTTCTTCATTAGCCACTCGTACAAATTCCCAGAATTAACCAAAGAAAATCTTAATTTAATTCAAGAATAATACAAAACCAATTGATTATTTTTCTTGACCAAATACCATTAAAAGTTCAACAACAGCAGGGCGTTGAAATGCTTCCAATTTTCCCCTCAAAATATTTTCACTAAATTATGGGGCTAACATTAATTAGGTTCGCAGATACATTTTCAACTTGCGTCACACGGAAAACAGATCGCAGACCATTAAATATATTTTCCGATGATCAGAGCTCCATGAAGAGTTTCAAATACATTTTTGAAGTCATAAACACACATAAATATAGAATTCATATGGGGCCATGTACATGGTGAATCTATTAAATAAATTAACTTTGTTGTAAGTGCTGGCCATAAATATTTATATTTTATACGTTATGTCGTAAAATTCAAATGAAGTTGTCCCTTGATGATGACGATGTGTGGGTTGATGGCGCTGGACGCGTTTATAAACAAATTTCCAAAAGCAATTATGAATTGTATTTTTTTTTTTTTTGGCATTCATCGGAGTCGTCATCGTCGTCGTCGTCCGTCTGACTGACAGGAAATTATATTGTAAGGCCATAAAGCTGACAGGCCCGGAGAACCAAATGAGGCACCCGAAGAGATCTTCAGTCCGTCCCTTCGTAACATGTGCAACATGCCGTTTGAAGTCCCCCCACCTTGCTGCTCGAATGACTTTTACCCAGAAGTCGTTAAAAAACCAAAAAAAAAAAAAAAACGACAAAAAAATAAAGGAAAAACGACGAAAATTTCCAATTAATTTTGATAAACGCGGGCCCACAACGAACGAAGAGATGCATATACATATAGGAAAATTCGATTGCCGGAAATTGTAACTGTGTATTGATTGGAAAAGCAAGAGGGAAAAGGGAGAAACCAATTGTTGCTTATTAGGCCGAAATCATTAAAAACCTAGCCAAGCAGCCAAGTATATTTTCCTCCTCTTTTTTGGTCATCACAATGAAGCCATTTCAATTTCAATCAGCTCGTTTTTTATGACCCCTTTTAGGCACTTTTTTGCCCGCCAGTTTACGATTTTACATTTACAAGACTTTAGGCCTGGCCCAGCCATCGATATGTCCATCAAACGATTAGGCCAGACATGTTTCTATATATATATATAGGAGTGTATTTGTGGTATCGGGGGGACTTAATGACCAGATTAATGATGCCAAAAACATGATGGGAAGCGATAGATTAAATGGCAGCTATAAAATCGAATTAAGTGTGGGCTGATGGTGCTTTTGGGAAATTCTAGTACTGAAGTTGATCAAAGAACACGTCTTTGCAGCTTCAGGTCTAGAAATATCTTAACTTAATATCTTCTTAAAAGTCATTTCCAGGAAGTGAACAAGAGGAATGTTTCAAGTTATATATAGATAATATATAGATGCACTTTATTGCTATCGGAACCTAACAATGTAAGAAAAAGCCAAGTTCTTGACAATAAAATGTTTCTGCTACCAAATATATTCCATATTTTATGATTACCTAATAAAATTGCTGATTTATTAAGTTATAAAATGTTATATTTACCTATTCCAAAAATATAATAAATTCGTTCCATCGTTATTTGAAATTTATGTCCCTAACAATTATAGATACGTGTCAAAATATATTCCTACAGATAAATAAAAGCATATACATAAGGTATAAATAGGTATAAAACCTATAAAGAAGTTTATAAAAACCTTATAATAAATCGTGACGACTTGATTTTAAAATTTTCCAATCAGATTTCTACAAATTAATAATAACAAAATATTTGAAATACCTAGAAAAAATCATTAAATTTATAAATAGTATATTTTAATAGGAAAACATTAAATGAATTCAAGGAAATTTACACATATTTGATTTAAAATAATTTACATAATGTTAATAAATCCTAATAGAGATCTGGCTTTATATAAATACATTTTTTAATACCTATAAATTATTTAGAAATTATTCTTATGAAACCAAAATACTGAAATATAATATGTCAGTTTATAATATTATTTTAAGTTACTTAACCAGTATATTTTGTAAGCAATCTGAATCGATTAACTAATACCCATTGGAATCTTAATTGAAAATTTTTGTTGAAAAATATTGAACAAAATAAATAACAAAATAATCAAATCTTGCAACAGACACACACAGAATGTGCCTTCAAGTGGAAATATCTTTTGGTGGCTGGAAAAGAAATAATAATTTATGCGTTTTCATTTATTTCTCCACACACACACACCCATAGTTTTTGTCCAAAATAAAGTTTTCCATTTATTCTGCGCTCCACTCGTAAATTACAGACAGCTGGCAAAAGAAGTGGGGGGAAGTGGAGGGGTGGGGACCATTCGTTTTGGGGCCAAGCGAAAAATAAATATAATTTTTTTAAGTGCCGCCCAGCAGAAAAAAAACAGCATCTATGTAGTATTTTTTCCCCCCTCTCAGCTTGTATCTTGCATTATCTACGCTGCCGTATCTGATAATGATCAACTGCCGGCCGATGCGACGCCTCAAATGCCGCCTTTTTTCTTTTAATATATATACAGATATATATATGTATTTTTTTTGTTTCTTACTCCAAGTTGTGTTGAGTTTTGTTGTGTTTTTTCTCTGTCTCTTTTGTTGCCTTTTAATTAAACGCTCAAGCCGCAAGCGGAGCTCAAGTCGCTGGCGGAGTCGTGCCTCGAACTGGCGGCTGCCTCTTTGAGCTGAAAGAACCCTCGACGAATCCCCATAGAGGTTGCCGCCTCATTCAGTCATTCATGCCGTCATTGCTTCATTATCCATGCGCACATCACTCAGCGCGCACTCTGCATACACTCGGGGCAAACCATATTCCGGACCCATCCCAGTATCCATAACCATATGCCATATATCCATATTCTTTAGGAGATCTGTAAGCCTTTTGCTCCAAATGCAAATCAATTTTCTGGTACATATAATCTGCTTTCAAGGCAGTACTTTTTCCATTTTATTATTTTAACATTAAATACATTTTTTAAAAGCAATAAATTGGAAGGAAATTGTCGATTTTAAATTGTACATTGATTTCTTGGGCAATGCTGCAATTGAAGAATTTAAGAAAATTGGAATTGGAAAGTTTGACTATAAAGATTTGGGTTATCAATAATTTTTGGTATTACGTTAAAAACAAATCGAATCATATATAGAGTTTCAAAGTCAACTTGCACCTGTTCACTACTTCCGAGGTCCCAATGAAAAGTAAATATGGCTGAAAAACTGTCTACTTACCTGCCTAGTAGTAGAAGCGCAGAGGAAGGCAGCAATCCTTGATCTTTCCCTCTCACAGAGATCACTAAACAATTAAATCATATATTGAGTTTCGAAGTCAACTTACACTTGTTTACCACCTTTTAAGTCCCACGAGAATGACAAGCAAAATAGGGTTGAAAAACTCTCTTCTTAGGTGCCTAGTATGAGAATCGCAGAGGAAGGCAGCAAATACTTAAACTTTCCCTCCCACATCTCTCGTTCTTAGGTGCGTAGTATGAGAATCGCAGAGGAAGGCAGAAGGTATTAGTGTTAATTAAATCATACAAACAGTTTCAAACCAACTTGCACTTGTTTACCACTTCTGAAGTCCCATGAGAATGACAAGCAAAATAGGGTTGAAAAACTGTCTACTTAGGTGGCTAGTATGAGAATCGCAGAGGAAGGCAGCAAATACTTAAACTTTCCCTCCCACATCTCTCGTTCTTAGGTGCCTAGTATGAGAATCGCAGAGGAAGGCAGCAAATACTTAAACTTTCCCTCCATTATCTCTCGATCTTAGGTGCCTAGTATGAGAATCGCAGAGGAAGGCAGAAGGTACTAGTGCAACAAATTATCTATTTCTCTCACAGCTC